TTGGATTTGGATTTGGGTGTTAAATGTGTGCTGGCAAAGTTTGCGGACAACACCGAATTATGGGAGAGTGCGGTCACACTGCAGGATAGGCTGGGGATATAGGCTGACCTGGACAGGCTCGCAAGATAGGAGGATCAAAACCTGATGACATTTAACACTGAGAAATGTAAAGTGCTCCATTTGGGGAGAAATAATCTGTAACACACTTATAGGCTCGGCAGTGCTACACTTGTTAGCACCACAACTGAAAGAGACTTGGGGGCCATGATAGACCATAGAATGAACATGAGCCATCAGTGCGATGCTGTAGCTGGCAAAGCAAATAAGACACTGGCACACATCTATCAATGCATCTCAAGCAAGGCTAAGGATGTCATCTTCCCACCCTACTTGGCTTTGGAGAGGCCGCAGCCAGAGTACTGCGTACAGTTCTGGACACTGCACTTCAGGAAGGATGTAGACAAGCTTGAGAATCTAAAGGAGAGCTACACATACTATTAGAGGTCTGAAGAGCAGGCCATTTGAGGAGAGGCAGAGACATGGGACTGTTCAGCCTGGAGAAGAGAAGACTTAGAGGGGACTTGATGGCAGCCTATAAGTATATGAAGGGTGTACATCAGGGTCTGGGAAAGCATTTGTTTACCAAGGCACCCCAGAGGAAGACAAGCAACAACGATCAACCAAACCCAAGGTGTGATCATCACACCCTCTTCCTGGCTCCCCCCACCATTTCATGCGTTCTTCTAGTTTCTGAGCTAGTGAAGCTTTCTGTAAGGTGACTTGGGGAAGGTAATTCTATAAGCTGTTTAGAAAAGGACTGTTCAGGGAGGCACTTTGAAACGGCCCTGAACAGCTCTCACACTGACCGACCGCCTGCTAGCAAGAAGGTTAGCTCTGCTGCCAGACTTACCAAGGGATGATTATCTGCTTGCTGGGAGGAAAGTAGCCCTGCAGGAGGTTGGGGGTAAGGCTCAGAAAGTGCCATGCTGTTCCTGGCAGGCAAGGCTCTTTGATAACTTTTCTTAGATCAACTACATAGTTGGAAAAATTATTCTTTGCAAGCTTTCGGGTACGTCAGGAGCGAACGGCAGGGTGTCCCCTGGCCATCAGCACCCGCTGAGCTGCTTTGGGAGCCTCCCACGACACCGACGAGGTTCTGCTGAAAGAGGAGCGCCCCTCCGAGCAGCCCCTTCTCGGGCGTTCATCGGCAGCTCTTCAGCCCCGCGCGGGAGGCGACGGGGCCTGGCGGGGCGAGAGACCAGGGTCACTCGCGGGCGCGGCTCGGAGGCAGGGCGGAGCGACCGGCGCGGCTTCAGCACCGGTAGGCGGACAGCTCCGAGGGGCTACGGCTCGTCTCTCCCCCGCTTCTCCCCGAGGCGGGCGCGGGCGCGGGCGCGGCGGCAGCTGCTGCGAAGCCGGGGGCCCCCTCCCCCCC